CATGTAGATTGGTCATACATGAGGAGCCATGTGGGATGGCCTCATTTTATAATAAACTGTTCTTATAAGAACTAACCTAGTCCTAGAGAACTACACCACTGTCTCCTGAGAGCAGTATCCTCATGACTGGTCCCCTTCCACTAGGACCTACTGTTTAAAGGTCTGTTACTTCTCGCTATGGTCACGTTGAGCATCAGGTTTCCAGCACATTGACCTCTGGGACACACTCAGGCCATATTCAAACCCTAGAATACACCCAGCAAGAAAGTAGTTCCAGAGGAAAGCAGGACAATCGGAAGGGAAGAACCAGTTTATAACATCTACCATCTGTATCATCACAAAATAGTCATAAATAGTCGCTTCAAATATTCCATGGGCTTTATCGATTAATATTGTTCATCATTCCCACAGTAACATAAACAGGATAACTTATCCCCACATTTTGTATCGCTAAGGATGGAAAAATGCAAAGAGGGGATCCAGTATCTGATCCCATGTGTGTCTGCCCCTCCCATAATATCGAGGACCTCGAGGGTAGCAGTATTTTACACATGAGAGGGAGAGAGGATAATTCGAGTCAGAGGGCCCTTCTTGGACATCCTATCACACTTATGATGCCCTAAAATAATTAGTTCTGCCTGTAGAGTCTTCTGGATCCTGGGCAAGACAGTCCCCTTCTGTTGTAAGAGGTGAAGCCTGCTGTACCAGGACAAAGGCACAAAGCTGGTCCATTCCACACCCTGGAGCTGACTGGGTGCTGATTGATCTCACACAGGACCTATCAGCCAAGTGCCTTTGGTAAACTCATCTTCTCTGAGTCTCTATCTGAAAAGGTCCTGCTTTTATCAAACCCAAGGTTATTTTGACAGACAAGATATAAACAACAACAAAGTGTCTGGCTTCATAAGATAGAATGATTATGCTACAGCTTCTCGAATTGTAAAAGGAAACCCCTCCAAGGGAAAGGAGGATGGCCTGTGGCTTGCCCATGGTCCCCATGGTTTAAAAGTTGATTTCTACATACCTATCAGAACACTAACAGCATCAAATGTCGGCAAGTATGTAGATGGAGCAACAGGAACTCTATTTTGCTGGTGGGAATGCAAAATGGTTCAGTCATTCTGGAAGATGCTTTGGCAATTCCTTACAACACTGAAGATACTCTTACCATTCAACCCAGCAACTGCACTCCTTGGTAATTATCCAAAAGTCTAAAACTTATATCCACATGAATACCTGCGCTTGAGTGTTTATTCACAATTGCCCAAACTTAGAAGCAGCCAAGATGTCCTTCAATGGGTGACTGGATGTGGTAATGTCCAGACAATGGAATACTATATAGTGCCCAAAGGACATGAAATGTGAGGCTGTGAAAAGACATAGAAGAAACTTAAATGTACATTACTAAGTGTAAGAAGCCAATCTGAAAAAGTTATGTACTGTGCAATTCCAACTGTATGACATTCTGGAAGAAGCAGAACTTTGGTGAGGGTAAAAAGATCAGTGTTTCCCAGGGGCTGTGGATGGAGGGATGGATGAAAGGTGGGGCTTAGGAGATTTTGGGCATAGTGAAACAACTCTGTTTGATATTGTAATGGTAAATATATGTAATTATACATTTGTCCAAATCCATAGAATGCATACTATCAAGAGTGATGGCTAGGTGGGTGCTGGTGGCTCACACCTGTAATCCTAGCTACTCAGGAGGCAGAGATCAGGAGGATCTCAGTTTGAAGTCAGCTTCCAGCAAATAGTTTGTGAGACTGTATCTTGGAAATACCCAACACAAAACAGGGCTGTGGAGTGGCTCAAGTGGTAAAAGTGCCTGCCTAGCAAGCGTGAGGCCCAGAGTTCAAGCCTCATTGCTGTCTCTTCCCCCATTAAAGAGTGAAGTGTAATGTATGCTATAGACTGTGAGGGACAATGAGGTATTAATGTGAATTTATTAGTTGTAATAAATGTACCACTCTGGTGGGGGATGTTGATGGGGAAGTTGTGTAGGTGGGGGTGGGGTAGCAGATATAGGGAAAATCTCTGCATCTTCTGTTCAATTTTGTTGTGAACCTAAAACTGTTCTAAAAAATGAAGTCCATTAAAAACGAGCAAGCAAGCAAACATCATTTCTCCAGCCCTTGACCTACAGACACATGCTCTCGGATTCTTGAGCTTTCTTGTTCTATTTTACCATGTATGGTTTGATTTCCTAAATAGTGGCCTAGGAGACTGCTCCCTCATTTCAACCTGTATTTTTAATAGAATTTCTACCTGATGATAAAAATAGGATATATAACAAAGTGTGGAAAACAGAAAAGGACAAAGCAGAAAATGATAACAACAAAAAGGAACCCCACTCCCAGCTGCTTCACTCAGAGATGTCAATCATCACATTTTGGAGAGTAGCTGGTACTTAACTGTTTATATAATTTAAAATCTTGCACAATTCTATTAATATCATATTCCTCCATCACTAAAAACCTCACAAGCAATATTGTTTTGGTAAACATTTCACGTACGACTGTACCATATTTAGTTAATTGTTTAGCATTCAGAAGGTAATATTTAGGATATTTTCAGTTTTGCACTGTTTTGAATATTGTGATGAACATTTGTGTGGTCAAAGCTTTGCTAACATTCCTAGACTGGGAATTATAGGACTCAGAGTGTAAGTAAGATTCTTATAACTAAGGTTCTTATTGTATTACAAGATTGCGTTCCAGAAATTCTGTGTCTGTTTACATTCTCAGAAAACAGTATGTGAGAGTTTCTGACTCTGGTTTTCATAAGTAAAATAATTTAAAAAAAACCAATTTGTTGATGAAAGAGAATATCTCATTGATTTAATGCACATTTATTTTTTTCTGATAAAGAATGGACTTTTTAAACCTGTGGATTATTTGAATATCCAATTTTGTGAGTTGTCAATTTGTGCTATTTTCCCATTTATATTGAGATCTTAACATTTTTATGAATTAAAAACATTTCCCCCAGTTTTTTACAGTTTAATTTTTTATGTTAGTCTCATCTTCAAAGTGGAAAAACTCCTCCCTTGACAGTTAGATTAACACAAAATAGCATACTATAGAAATTTATAAAGAAAGTAAAAGTCCCCTACATTGTACTTCTTGGGCTGATACTAATGTTTTCCAAGCATTTCTTTCCAAACTTTGTTCTGTGTTGACTGTATTTTTGAAGCTTAAAAATTTCAATTTTTCTGTACTTCAAAACAACCATTTTAAAATTTCAATCTATCCTCCAATGCTTTTGTGTTTAGGAAAGTCTAAAGATCAGATAAAGAATCACCTTTCATTTAAAAATAGAGCTGTGGTTCTTTTCACTTCAATTTTTCTGCCAAGTGATATTTTGAAACACCAAAGTCCAGTGAAGAAGAGTCTCCCAGATTTCCCAGGGAAATCCTACAATAGGATTTCACTTCTACTTATTTCTTCCTTTCCTCACAGGGGTGTTGGAAGAAATTGCTTTGAGAATGGTTGACAATCACAAAATTAGGAAGAAAGAGACTATGAGGTGAAAAGGTGTTGAGTCTTCAGGAGCAAACTGCTTTAGACACCCAGGCTGTTTAGGTTGTTTTGGGGACTCACAAATGGGGCATGGACTTATAATAATAATAATTTTGACAGAATGCTTTCAATTCACATAGTGTTTGGTGATTGAAAGGGCTAGCTCTCTGCTTGTCATTAGTATGTGTGTGGCTTTCAGCAGCGACCAGTTACTGAGCCTCAGCCTGTCTTTCTGCAGAATAGAGTAATAGGTTAGGAGAGATGCCAGGGTGGAAGAAGCAGCCAGAGAGCATGCAGGAGGACCTCGCAAGAAAGAGAGATGGCCCTGTGTGAAGGCAGGCTGAACCTTTCATTCCTGAGCCTCAGTTTCTCTGTACAATGGGCTTGGTATGAGGTCTTCAAGAACCCTTTCTGTTCTAGGAAACTCCTGTCCCTGGAACCATATTCTGGGCCACCTTTGCTCCTCTGACTGCTTTGTGGGTCCACTGGCGCTCAGCCCTGGCTTCTGGACATAACTAACATTCCAGCAGTACTCAGCCCATATAGCTTCAGAGAACCTTCCAGGTTCAGCAAGCAAGGCTTCCTGACCTAGACTTTGGGTAGTGGGGGAGGGGTGGGATCAGCTCACCATACATACTTATTACAGTTGGCTCTCCCTGTCTGCGGTTTCTCATTCCAGGATCAAAAATATCCAGGGAAAAAATTGTGTCTGTACTGAAACACACCAGTACGCACACAGATTTTTCTTATCATTATTCCCTAAACAATACAGTACAAGTATTTAGGTAACATTTGAATCTAAGTCACCTAGAGATGACTGAAAGTACACAGGATAGGTGTAGCTTCCATGCAAACACTAGGCCATTTTATATAAAGAACTTGAGTGTCCACAGGTTTTGGTATCTGCTGGGGTTCTGGAACCAGCCCCACTCCAGTGACGGTGATTTATGATATGTCATCATCGGTCTGTTGGCCAAGCGAATGAGCACCAGTTATGACCCTTCATCATTTTCCCTCCTGCAGGGATTAGGGGACAACGCTGCGTATGGATGCTGATCAAAGATCTCGTGCCAAGCCTCTTGGTGTCTTATTTGTAAAATGGGGTAACAGTAACACCTTCCTCATAAGACTGTCTGGAGAGCGAGATAATGCCTATCAAGTCACTTAGCACAGTGCCAGGCACACAGTAAGTGCGCAGTAGTGTGAAGTGGTTGTTAAAATAGTTATTGGCAAACTGGAAAAAACCAGCACTTCGTTGGGCCGATACTGAGGCAACGGGAAAAGAGACGTGGAGACGCCCAGAGGCGGACTTTGGGCGCCGGGCGACCGGGAACCCCGGGAAGGGCTTGGCACACGGGTCGCGCTCTCTAGCAATCCGGGCTCTGAAATTCCAGGGCCGCGCACCTATCGCTGCTCATCATCTTTGATTTTCGAAAGCACTTTTCTCCTACACCTGGCTCCCTTTCCTGGTTGCAGGAGGTGACTGCTTGAGAGGAGGACCTAGACGTCTGGGCCGCGGTGTGGTTGGACCCAGGACTGTCGTGCTAGTCTCCGCCCCGGGGCGGTGTCGCCGGAGAGTCCAGGGAGTCCCTCTCGCCGCAGCCTCGGGCGCGCGCGCGTGCTGCTCCCTCTGGCCGGTGAGGTTCCGACGCCAGGGGTGGCCCTTTAAAAGGCAGTATCTTGTCCGGAGGGGGCGGATAGGGGGCGCTGACCACAGCCCCAGGCCGGCCCCTTCTCCCGGCCCCCTCCCTCCGTCGGTCCCTCCCGCTGTGGGTCCCCGCGTTGCTAGCTGGCTTGCTAGCCAGGCTTACGCTCCGCCTCCGTCAGTCGTCTCGGCTGTCTGGTGCGCGGCGTGGAGCCGGAGCCGCGGCCGGACGCGCGGCTGGGGCTGGGGGCTGGGAGCGCGGCGCGCACTGCCTCCGGGAGCGAGATCCGCGCCCGCCACCGGGCGAGGCTGGCGCCGCGATGGCAGAGATGGGCAGCAAAGGGGTGACGGCGGGGAAGATCGCCAGCAACGTGCAGAAGAAGCTCACCCGCGCGCAGGAGAAGGTGAGCGAGCCGTGACTCCGGCCCCGGCCACCTGTCCCCCCTACACCCAGGGTGGGGGCCTGTCACCTCCGGACGACCGATGCCAGGTGGTCCCCGGGCCGTGTCTCCCAGCGCTGTGCGCGCCCCCTTGGGTTAGCGTTCTCGGTCTCCCCACCTGGGCCCAGGCAGGGGAGGGCGCAGCTGTTCTCTCCCTCCCCCTCCGTCTCCCCCCTCCCCCATCTCCGGCAGCTTTGTACCATCGCAGCTCGTCTGCAGAGAAGTGGCGGCCCACGCTCCCGGGTCCACTCGGGGCGCGCGGTTCAGGCTAACCCCACCCTGGTGGCCCAGGGCCGCGATCCCTGGCTCTTCAGGCTGACGCGGGCAACCGGGCGGGGCACACCCCGGGGAAGGGAGGGAGGCTATCTCTCTGCCCCGGGGATCATATGTGCCCCAGACTCACGAGGCTACTTCCCGGCCCGCAGTTATGGGCGCCCGCAGTTCTCTCCTTCCCACCATCTCTCCACCCGCGGACAGAAGGAAGGATCGGGTTTCCTATCCCGAGGGGTGCCTGCGGCCTGGAAGCTCCTGCCGGTCGCAAGAGACTGCGCACCCCTGGAGGAGGTCCCCTCTCCGGAGCTGGGACTTCTGGTTTCCGGCGGCCGGGGAGGGGATGGTAGTGTTGGCTTGGGAGCCCGTGACCGGCCGGGTGGGGAGCTAGCACTGAGGAGGGGCGTGGAGGGTGCTGCAGGGAAACCCGACCTCTCTTCACTAAGAGTGATTCCTAGCCTGCGACGGGGATGGAGTCGGAGCTTCCTGGGGCGCCCTGACTGTGCAGGAAATGTAGGGATTGAGGGGCGGGGGTCGTCGCGGGTCAGCTTTTTATCCCAAGCCACCTCTGGTTTATCGAATTGGATCACGCCAGTTGCTGACGCCACTTCCCCTGTCTATTCCAACTCTGAAATCTGAGATTGCAGAATCCGTGTTCCTGCTAGGGTAGCCCCCCAGGGCCGGTGGGGATCGGGAGACCAGCTGGCCTTCTCCAGCAGGCCTTGTGGCTGTTTATAAACAATGACTTTTGCAGCTGAGACCCGCGGGCTCCCTAAGGATGCAACCACGTGATGGGGGAGGGGGAAATAAAGCTTCTCCTTTGCCTCCCTTAGAGCCCTACTGCTCATCCTTGTGGCTGGCTAAGGAGGTGGGTGGGTGTGGAGGGAAGGGCTCTCTGCCAAGTTCCAGGATCCCCTTCCCCCAGGGGGAGGAGGAGGAGGAGGGAGAGGGATTAGAGCCCCACGAATAACTAGCTGGGGGCTGGGAAGACCTCAGGCACCCAGGTTGGAAGAGCAGTGGCATATGCAATGCTCCCTCATTGGCCATGAGCGGGTAATCCCTCTAGGTGCCTGGAACCCATAGCTCTGGGTCTGAGCCTATTTTCTGATCCTAAGCAGCAGAGGCTGATGAATGGGAATCTACTGGCTAGTGGAGACAAGTTCCCTTGCCCCCTCCTCCACTGATTGCTGACCCTTCCCTAGGGCTCCTGGTGTGCGCCCTCTGCCCCAATTGCATTTCTCTGCAGCAGCATCTTTGAAAATCCTAGGGGCAGTAAGCATGGCTGTGTGCCCTTCTTGTAAGTGGCCAAGTATTATTGGCCCCTTGAGCTACTGTGCCTCCCTCCTCAGCCCCTCTTCTGCAGCCTCAGGCAGTTGGCTGACAGCTGGTGGGCTGTGGATGGTGGCCTTGGCCCAGCCTGAGTTTGTACTTCATGAGACTGCAGTTGCTTGGTGCCACAGTTGCTCTCTACCCAGTGGCCACTGGCTAGGGATCCTCTGCCCTTGGGAAGCTAAGACAGCATGACAGCCATCCTGGTTGTCTTTGCCCTTTTTGGCGAGTTGTAGGCCTCGCTCCTGGCAAGCCCCATGGCTCATCCACTCCTTCCTCTTCTGTTTGTCTTCCTGCCACTCAGAATCTGCATTTGTTATAGCCTGGGTACACTACCTGGGCTGCCTCCTCAGCATCTTCTGGTGGTGTTCAGTACCCCATTGTAATGGGACCTCAATTCTAGTCTTAAAAAGCAGCCCCACCACTGTGCCCACCTTGCCTTGGTCAAATTGATGTGTAATGGGGCATTTTCAGACCAAGGACAGCAGGAGCTATGGTGGAACATTTAGAGAGTATTCACGTGGGAAGAAAGTCCCCCCATTGCCACTCCTTTCTTGTCCTCCCCAATCTTCCCACATTTTCTCTCAGCGCGAACATCCATGAGACTCAGAGGGTGACAATCTAGTCAAGGGTAGCCTGCTGTGGGGCTCTGTGAGGGTCATGGAACCAGCTCTCCTCTATGTCCCTCCATGGATCCTGGAGGGATCCATGTTACTCATTGATCTCCCTTCCTCCACTTCTGGTCTAGACAGACCCATGTCTGTGCCCTTAGGGCTTTCACCTGTCCCCAACAGGTACTTAGTGATTATTTATGTACAAACAGAAGCATTTGGGGGCTCGGCTTAGAGTCCTGGCACAGGCCTGTGGGTGGATGTATTTGTGTTCTGTGCTACTCTGCTGTCTTTCGTTCATCAACTCCTTCCTGGACACATGCTGGGTGCCCCATCCTAGGCTGACCTCTCCTCCCGACATGCTGTCTCAGGCAGGGAGCATGTGGCTCTGGCCTGCAAAGTGCTTATTCTCGTAAGGTCTCTTACCACTGCTGTGGCCTTCCAGTGTGTCCAAGGTGCAGAGCGCGTGCCTGAAGCTCAGGCCTGTGGCTGCTGTGAGGTCATCTTCCCATTGCGTTTGGCCTGTTGGACCCTCTATAAATGACTGTGTCCATTTTTGGGCCTCAGAAGGGTGGCTGGGGAAAGCCAATTTAGGGTGGAGCCTGGGTCAGATGACAGGGGATTAGAGGTTGGCGGGCTGGACCCCTTGGGGGATGGGGTGGCTACAGAGAAGGACAGCTGGGATGGGGGTAGAATTTGGCCTGCTGGTCCCTGAAGTTCCATGGACTTGGGAAAGTGCATCAGAGGGAGGCTGGGGCTGACTCTGGCGGAGCCTGGAGGGGAATGACAGTGGAAGAAGGCCTAGGCAGGGGTGGGAGTGTGCACTTTGTCCCCCCTCAATAGCTGTCACTGAGCATGCTGGGAGGGGTGCAGGCTGGACAGTGGGGAACACCAGCTGGGAGGGGGAGGGCCCACAGCTATCATTGCACACACAGTGCTGGCATGCTGAGCAGATGCTCAGTAAAGGAAGGGACAGCAGTGGTTATTTATAGGATCCTGACACATGGCCATGTTCCTCTGCGTGGTCAAGGTCTCCCCACGCGGTAGCTGTTATAAGTGGGGCTGTGTACCAAGCCTATACTTGCAGCAGCCTTAAGAATAGCTAGTCTATACCAAGAGCGGTGTACTTGGCCCCTTTAACAGAAGGGGCAGCTGGGTTCTGGGCCTTACCATCTGCCCTTGTGATAGAGCTAGAAGTTCACATAGGCCACTGATTTGCCATGTGCCTCCCTCCTTTTCAGGTTCTAGACCACAGCGACTACCCTCCACCCATAACGTACATCTCTCTCTCTGCCCTTGAGTGTCTCAGGCCCTTTCCTTGTCTCCCTCTCCTACCCCTGGGGTGACCTCTTTTCCTTTCTGTCTCCCCGCTGTGGGTTGGTCTCCCTCTGAGCTTGGCCAGGCTTTGTCACACCTTCTAGCCTGGATCAGTTCACCCCGAAGAAGTTATTTATGTAAAGGGTTCATCTTTCCCACTGGAGGGAGGGCTCCTGAGCCAGCATCCTGTATGGGTGTGGGGTATGTTATAGGGGCTCCTTGGGCATTTCGTTCAGGCAGGTGGGTGTGGGGAGGTTGGAAGCAAGGCCTCTAGACCTCCCTGAGCCCTTGTGGACCTTGGTGGCCTCAGTAGGCTGCTGGCTTGTAACAGCAGAGAGCCAGACAATATCTGTTCTGTCCAGGGGAGCAGATGATGGGGGAGCCGACTGCAGCTGCTTGGGGTATAGGGAAAGAGAAAGGGTTCTAAGAGGCTCAGATGTGGGCTAGATGAGGAGGGGGAGTGAGAGCAGTGAGGACTCCAACTCCCAGTAAGAGAGGGGTTGGCTGGACCAGAGATGTGGGCCAGATTTGATTTGAATGCATGGGAATCCGTGCACCCCAGGGATTCTCCGAGAAGCCCAGCCTGCTCCCTGTCCTTACACATAATCTATCTGGGCTTCCTTCTCACCTTCACTCTCTGCCCTGGGTGGTCTCAGCCCAGCTGGTCCCTTACAAGCTGAGTGGCTGGGACACCATTTAGGAGAATGCTTCTGTTATTCCCTCCTGCCATGCCCCAAGGCCGGGCCTCCCAGGGAGCTTTTGCCATGAAGTTCTACAGTCTTAGAGTCCTACCTTCCAGTTGGGACCTTGTGCCTACACCTCACCATGTGAGTGACAGCAGAGAGCATGGGGGTTCTGGACTCCTCTTCTGGCTGAGGACAGGCAAGTGACAGTTCTCCCTGAACTCTGTGTCTTCATGAACTGGGGATCATAATAGCTCCTTTTCATACTTGTGGAAAGGAAAGTCTTCAACAGGTGCCAGGCACATAGCAAATTCTTACTGTGTGGGCTGACCAGCACCACAGAGCCTCACTAGGAGCCTGCCCTCCCCAGATGTCCCTCTCCCCAACTTCTTTCCCTGGGAGTGTCTGTTACAGGCCTCTGTAGACAGCTAATCCCTATTGAGCCCTTAGCTGATCAGGGCTTAGGATGTGATCACAGCCCCTAGTGGTAGACGTGCGTGTGTGTGGTGGATGTGCTATGCTGCGTGTGTGTGTGTGTGTGTGTGTGTGTGTGTGTGTGTGTGTGTGTGTGTGTGTGTTGTGGTGTGTACAGGGGAAGTCTGTGCCAGGTGGGAGGCTTAGAATCAGACATTTTGGAGTGTATCTCCGCTCACGCATAAACTCTGCGTCTCTGGGAATATTTCTCCCTCTCTCTGGTCTTTACTTTTCACTCCTGGTAAACTGGTGATGGCATTTGCATATTCATTCACTTATC